GGCGTCGTTATTTACTTGCTCATCTTCGGTGTTGGTGATGAAATCAACTTGTGTGGCTTCCTCAGCCACTATATCACCATCCAAGAAATTTGGTTGGTGTGTAGTTGGCTGGAATTCAACAGGTAAAACATGGACCATGCTGATTTCCATGTTCTCAAGGACTAAAGGGCCCATCGGATCCTGGTCGTTTTCTTCCGGGTTATCGAGGACTGTAGCATCGGTCGTTAGAACATCTTCGGCCTGATTATCATGTGTCTCAACACGTACTTGCTCTTGTGCCATGTAACCCGACCTTGCTTCCTTTTGACTGTTGTCGTCAAGCCCATTAGTTATTGGTGTCTGATTTTGCCCCTGCAATGCCTTACGAGCTCATTCCTCATAGGCGATCCGGGCGTCTCTTGTGTCTAGGTAGGCATCCAGTCGCGCCACCCGATCTTTTTCATCGGTCGTAAGACCGAAGAGAGATACGGTCAAAAAGACTTCGAAGTGGTGTCGTAAATGTTGAAGGTCGTCAAAAGAAAAAGGAAGCTCGGCTATATCAATGTCCGTGTATGGATCAACCTCAAAGCTAAGGACCCTGGCTTCTCATATGTGCTGGAACCTGGCTTTCATTGCTGGATCGGTGGTTTTCTAGATAATCTGTTCAACATCAAGGTAAGTTAGTGCCAGGTCGATGGCTTCTTGACATGCCTTGGGCAGGCCATACAAGTCATTGGCATAATGTTCTTTATGAAATTCGCGCATGTACTCCAAGGATTAGCCGAGGAATTAAGGGTGTAGGTTTCGCCGAACCTTTATTAATGGAACTTGCAAAGGCAACGAGGGAAGCTTGCTTTCGGCTTCTTTTCTAAAATGCTCGAACCGAGCTTTCATCTCCCCGAGCCGAAGAATGAGTTTGATGCGTTTCTCGGACTCTTCAATGGTGGTTTCAAAGTCGCGATCAACTGCCTTTTTCTCTTGAAGTAATTCGGCCATGATGGTCGGGGTACATCGGTCATCGTCGCTTCCTGTTGCCTCTTTCAACTACCATTTAATAGTTGGAATAGCATGTGCTACCTATCGTCGAGCCATGCAATCTATCTGTTGGCGTCGACATTTTTGAGATTTGGATATTGCAATATACATACCAGTGGGGGAATTGTAAATGTACCAACGTTGGTCGCGTGGCTTAGGTGGTTTGGAGGTTTTTTTATTCTTCGAAAAACTTGAGCTGCTGGAATTATGCGAGTAATAATCCTTGTTATAAAACGGCGCGTCGAAGTCAAGGCGTCATCTAGGCGAGGTAAGACCATTTGTCTGTTCCTGAAGGCCGAGCTTACCAAACACTTTCTGGCGTTGGCCTCCGCCAAGTTCCTTTGGGGGTGTCGTCGCGGACTTGGATGGTTGTCGTGGTGTTGATCTCTCCTTGGATTCGGTTAATACAACGCGTGCCCTACAATTGCTACACAAAACCATCGACCCATCAATTTCTTATGCACTGGAATCTGACATAGATTCGACTACATCTGGTCCTGAAAACTTGGTAGGTGGTTCATTGGAAAATAGGTCAATCTTGAGTCGTGGCTGGGAGTTTTTCTTTGGGACGTGTTGTAATGGGACAGACTCGGCCTTCCTTTTCCATTTTCTCTTGGGCAAATGGGCGTCTACCATGCCAACTGTTGCCGAAGGGAATGGATCAGCATCAACCGTCATTCGTTTTTCGAGAAACTTTAGCTTGCCTTTGTCAATCCAGCTTTGAATATCATCACGGAAAACGACACAATTGTTCGTGGTATGCTTAGTCGAGTTATGGTACTTGCAATACATCCAATACATCTTCCCTTTAAGCTTTTCGGCCTTAGGAATGTTATGTCCTGGCCAAAGTTTAATAATCTTTTCTAACAACAATTGGTCGAAATTGCATCAGCCTTTGTGATATCAAAAGTGTAAACTTTCGATGTTTTCGCCGTCTCTTCAGTGGTCAAGCGGGTTTTGGCATCCTTGGAATTAATTTAAGTCAATGCCTTGCAGACATATGGTTTATCTATTACTATCTCGGCCACGTCCACACTGACGTATTGGGAATCTTCGCATTCGGTCGATTCGTAGCTGACCATGGGATTTTTTGGAAATCGTTCCTCGGGATGGGGATTTTAAGGCCTTTTCTTCTCAGAGCAAATAATCATATTGCTCGACGTGTTAGGCTAACTCATACATATCCCAGAAGTTTGCCCCCAGAAATTTCTTTTTGTACTCCACGTCGAGCCCATTCAGAGCAAGCCTAACAAATTCGACTTCGGGAAGAGGTACTCGGCACCAATTCTTGGCCAATTTAAACCTTGTAAGATAGTCCATTGGTGACTCATCAGATGCTTAAGTTATCCTAACCAATGAAGAAACTGACATTTCCATCCCCGATCGATAGAATTTTTCGTGAAACTTCTCGACCAACTCCTCCCAGCTTTGGATAGAATTAGGTGAGAGGTTGATATACCATGCGAATGCTGAGCCTATTAACGAAAAGTTGAACAACCATAGTTTATAGAAATCACTATTGACATCTCCGCATTGCGTAGTAAAACGGGCCACATGTTCTAACGAGGATAAGGATGATTTTCCAACAAAAAGGTTGAAATCTGGAATCTTGAAACCTTTAGGATATTCGAACTTTTCCACATAAACTGGATATGGATGGATGAATTTTGGGAACTTCGACCCTTTTTTCAAGGCCGAATCGATCATTCGTTTGACCTCGGTCATATCGACAAATGTCGTTTCCATTCTCTGGTCAGATCCATCTGACCTACTACTTGATCCTCCCTTTTTTTTCTAAGTCAATCGTTTTGGGCCGAGTAAACACTACTTCGGCCTATAGCGGATTACTTCTTAATGGAAGTTGCCGAGCCTGATCAGCAGATCCTCCTTCGAAGACTCTGCTAACTAATAACTTGAGCAATTTGGTGTGGGTCTCACCATTACTTCGTATTACCTCGAGCAAAGTGTTCATTTTTTGAACAACTGTCTGTTCGACTTGTCGAGATTGCTCATCAAGCCGCCTTCGAAGAAACGACCTAGTTGGAGGGTCAGAGCCTTCACCACCATCTTCGTCGTAGTCATCCACTATTCCTTCAATGAAAACGCCGGCGGTTCGGTTAAGTACTTCTGTGTTTCGAGGCTGGGTATCGAGGCAAACTTCCTTTTCTTGGTGTGTCATACTTGCAGCCTCAAGGGTCACAGCAACGAGAGGATTTCGCGCATGTGACACTTTTTGTCCAGGACTCTGAACCGGCAGATCGATCGCTGATTTTCCCATGGTTGTTTTCTTTTTTACTGATCGTATCTCGATGGTCATGAACTTCGTAGTTTTAGCACTGGGTCCCACTGGGCGTGCCAAAATGTTGACCCTAAAAACTACCAAGCCTACATGGTGCGCAGGCCGAGTAACTAATGAGCTAACTACGGCATTCGATTGATGCGAGGTGTGCCAACTCGTCGGCAGAGCTCAGCCGAGGAGTAAAATGTGTTTATGTTGCGCTGAGCGCGCGGTTGACTTCTCGATCTTGCGACTGCGACCGAGGAAGAAACACTATCGGCCTTCAAGTTCTAGAGCCTGAAAACAAGGTTGCTAGTTCTGCGAAGTTCAATATCAAATTCAGCTTTCAATGTGCCAAATGTAGTAACATGTAACACCTCACTACGTCGAGAAGGCTAATGAGATGACCTCTGCTAATAAGGATTCGAAAATCATTCTCGACCGAGACTTGGATAGATAACCAATCAACCATGTCACAGTGCTGTTTATCCAAACTAAAGGTGCTTCATAGTCGGCTGATTCGACGGCAACATTGTTGTTTATCCAAACTGAAGATGTTCACTGGTTGCCTTCACAGTGCTGTTTATCCAAACTGAAAGTGTGTTGGCGAAAAAGGAAAATAAAAATCTCAAGGTTGTTAAGAGGTTTCATGTAGAGCGAGAATTTGCGCAGGGCAGTTTGTGTGTTGAATTGGAGAGACTTTAATGATGTCCTCATCCCTCTATTTATAGTAGTCAACCTGCTTCCAATCGAATCACAACCCTACTCGGATTAGAACTCATTCCCCCAATCTAACCTTATCTCAACCACTCTTACTCCTACTAGGACTTTGAACTCAACCCCCTTATCAGGCCGCCTTCAATCTCAAATTTCTACATCCTTATCCTGTCGAAACTCCTTCTCATATCAAAATTCAACCACCCATGGACTCCTAATAGGGCACAGCCGGCCTTGGCTATATGGCCTATAAGCCGGATGACCCCCAGCGACTCCTAAGCATGGCCTCTAAGCCGAGAACAATTCTAAATTCAGCCCAAACCAATATTTTGGGCCCAAACACTGTTATTAAATATTAGAATAGAAAAAAATTTGGTTTTCAATTGCTGGTTTTAAAAATCGGCCAAGGCGGTATCTAGGCAGGCTAGGCAGTGGAGGACCGATGCGATTTAAGCGAAAACTCGCAGAAAATTCAGGTAGGGGCTAGGCGGTATCTAGGCGGTTCTATTGTTTTTAAATGTTTTTTAATTAACTTAAAAGGGTTTTCTGGGTAACCTACAAAATAGAACCTAGTTTATGCATTAGTGAATTTTCAAATTTGGTTTTGGATTTTGTGCTTTTCTTATTTTTATTCCATTAGTCTGTGATGATGACAATGCTATGATGACTTAAGTTTTAACTTTACCAAATTCTCACTACAAGTATATTTTTTTTATTTTTTAGAGTGTAATTAGGCACTTATTTATATGTTATATAATAAATTTAATTAAATTCACCTAGTTCGCCTAGCACCGAGGCACTAAACCCTAGTCTGCCGCTCGATTAGCGCCTAGCGTCTTTTAGAACCTTAACTTTTAACCAGATAAAGGTCAAGAGTTATGTAGTTTTGCCTAGTTTGGTTGAATCTAGATCAGATTCAAGCTCTGTCCAATGTTCATCAGTTCTAGTAAGCCATATTCAAACTAAGTCAGGACACTTGCAGTGGCGGAGCCAGGATTTCGGATTAGGAGGGGCCTCTCACAAATATTAAAAAAAATTAAATCGATAGTAGTTACAAAACTGTTAACCAAAACATCATAGTATGTATATGAAAAGTAACCAAAATTCAAAATAACATAGCATTGATAATATTACATATTCCCAATAATTAAAATAATTGTCCTCGACGAGTTTTCATATTTTGAAACCGTTGCATTGTTCTTTGGACTCTTTGGAGACGGTTCTAATATCTCAGGTTGTGTTTTTCTTTTGAAATATCTTTCCATAACTGAAAAGTAAAAAAACATAGATTGACTAACTTTAAATTAAAAGAAATATGAACATATATGCTAATTTTACAAACTAAAACAAATTAGGCAATAGTTAAGAGAAATTGCAAGACATCAATTTAATCATAATTTATAAACAAAAAATTGTAACAGGAATTGAGAGTAAAATACATACTTTGGGTTGTTGACCAATTAACTAAACTTCAATGTCTTTTTTATGGAATGATGGAATAATTGAATTCTTTAATCTGCAAAAAAATATTATTTGTTAAATTAATTTACAATTGTAGATGACAACATATATGAATTAGCAAATTATAAAAAAAAAAATTGAAAATGACAACTATGAAGATTCGAAGTTCATACTCTTGATAGATTGATACACTGTACGGCTTGTGTACCACGGGAGGGATCAGACTGAGAGAAGCAGTGTTGAGAAGGAGAGAGCTACGGGAGGGAGAAACGAAGAAGAAGAAGAGAGAGATCAGAAAACATAAAAAAAATAAACAAGGTGGGCCCCACGGGCTCACCAATTAAGGCTTTAAAACAATTTTAAAATATAAAAGAGGGTAGGGGTGTTTCAAGTGTTATGACTATTTTTTCAAACTAGCAGAGAGCAACAGTCGGCTAGAATTAGAGAATAATAAAATACTAATTTTTAGTATTGGGAAAATGAATGGAAGATGAAGTGTTGGAAGTTGGAATAGGTTATAGGTAGGCTTTAGGGTTATTTAAAGAGGGCCGGATATTCTTAAAATATTTAAAAAGGGCCGGATAGTTTGTCTAGGAAATATGAATGATTTAACTGAAAATAATAAAATAATAAGTAGTACTAATTTTTAGTTATAAACAAAAGCAGGATGGGCCTAGGACTACTGTGGTCCTATGGTCCCTCCGCCCCTGGACACTTGTACAGCATAGAAGAAAATATACTCTTGACTGAAACACTTTGCTTCCTAATATTATTTGAATTTGGAGTTTTTAATTGTTTTCCTTGCAGTGTGACTATTATTGTTGCATATCTGATGAAAAAGCATGGTATGAGCATATCTCAAGCTCTTGAACATGTGAAGAGCAGACGACCTCAGGCATCTCCTAATGCTGGTTTCATTTCACAACTGCAGAGCCTTGAAAGGTCTCTTAGTGGTGGGTCATTATCGTTACACTTTTAATCCAAACTAAAGTTTATGAATTACCGCCTGAAGTAGCCGAACCTGTGTAGCATAGTCTTTGATTTTACTGACAGAGCTCCTCCTTAGCCAAACCATAACATAACATTTTCCTGCTGACCCGAACTCATGAATTTTAAGCATATGGTTTGTTCTAATGATACTGGTGTTGGCATTAATATTAACATTGTTGGTGATTTTAGGGGGCTAGTTCTCACTATACTTTATTGGAAATGCGTGTCACAAAAGGGTAAGATGACAGTGCACATGTTGAGTGTGGCACGCATATTTTGTGGCAAGATTTAAGCTAAAACTGATCTCATGTTAGTATATGCTGTCATATAAGTCGGCCGTGAAAAAAAACTGTAGGATAATGCTTAAGCATGTTTTTAGGCGGAAGTTTTAACGAAAAGCTCACGGTACTGTTCACTTTAACGAAAAACCACATTTTTACACTAAAAAGTCAAACTTGGTAGTATTCACTTTACCCTTTATTTTGTCCTTATCATTAAAACTCAAAGTTTTCAAGCCATTTTCATTAATTTTCCTATAAAACTATTGTGCAAAAGTTTGGCCCTTCAAAATCCGTAGTTGTCAGCTGAGCTATGTGATATCAAGATGTAGGTTTTTCGCTTTAAGGAGGTATTCTTATGTACATAATCTATGTTCCATGTTTATATATTTTGTACTGATGTTGGTTTGTTTATGATTTGCTTTGGATTTTCCTTTATATGCTCGAGCAGATGAAGAGAACAAGACAACATAATGTAGGTGGGCGGACTCCTGCGTTGAAGAACCTCGCTTTAATATATACGTTACCCAAGTTAGATGAAATTTGGTGGTACAGATAGAACTTTCAGTTGTTAAAAAAGAAAATGATGTGCTCTGTATTTAAAGCTGACTATGAACGATTAGGTTGTAAGAAGTGCAATAAAGCTCGTATTGCATAAAGCTTTTAATACATGTAGAGGTTCCCATAAATTTGCCCTAAGTGTGTATAAATCGTCGCGGTATTATAGATCAGCAGACTGGTACTGTCCCGTTGTGATGTTAGAAGGGATGCTAATTTGTATATAAATACCAATTAATAAATATAAACCCTAAACAATGCTGTGTTGGCAAAATGTATTTATCAATCAAAGGGAAGGATGAGAGTGACTGGAGGGGAATTGAAAGGAAGGAGAATATGAGAACACGACTTCTTTTGTGACTAATACCTAATACTGTTGGAAATTTCAAAACAAAAGATATGAAACAGGTGATGGGTCGGAATTATTAGAGTGATAGTTGGATTGAAGCAGGATTTTGAAATTTGGGAGAAGCAACAGGAGCGACCAGATGGACTGATGTGGAACGACCGGTCGGACCAATAAAACCTTGTAAAGCGACCGTTCGGGGCATGTTGAAGGACCGGTGGATGTCGTCGTGAAATTCAAATTCTTCATGTCACATTGAATGTAGGGAGGTGTTTAGTCGGTTTTAAACTTTAAACTTTGATACTCCGTTATAGTATCAAAAGCATTTCAGAAACATGTCCTACAAGCTAGAGATTGAATTCAAATGAAGAGACATTTCACATGAAATTGTGCCCCTTTATTGAAACGGTGCAACCTAAGTGTTATATGGTTTATGAATGATTGTTGAACCATCGTACGTATTAAACCTCTATTGACGAGTCACAGACAAGTGCTACAAGAAAATTTTATATTTTCCCTCTCTGCCTTTTTTTTCATTGAAAACCAAAGCACCAAGAACAAAATTATGCAGTTTATGTTTTTGGCTTAAAACTAGAGTGTTCTTGTTATCTTTAGTGTTTTTCAAGTTTATCTTAGGAGTACAAAACATGACAAACAAAGGGCACAAGGTCAGTGATGCATTATATCCACAAGATTACATACAAGTTGTGAAGACCAATTTGTTAAGCCTAATAGCGTAGTAACCTACGTACGTATCTTGAAATAAGCTTTCATCTTTCTTAGCCATAACCCACTAGTCGTTACTATCCAATAAATACTATCAAACACAGGAAAAGTTTTTTGTCGTCAATGATATTGGCGGGAGATGTAAAGCTAGCTAGTAGCAAAGTTCATGCCAAGGCCAATTAATTCGTCATGGATTCTCGTACGTGTTTTTATATATAGTTGCCATGAAAGTTCTTTCTTCTTTTCTTTGGTGCCAGTTATTTATCACCGCTTGCAAGAACAGTCTGTTTTGAATTAATAACTGAGACTGAAATATTGTGTGGCCTCTATCGATTACAGGTCGTAGATTTTGCTGTAGGTGTAGTGCTTGAAGCCTTGGCGGGATCGAAATGCGAATATATAATTTGTCATAGGGCTTTTCCAATCGAGATATAAAAACATATGTTTTTCTTCCTTAGCTACAACACTTCAATTACGCTACAAATCCAGTCTCCTTGCAACTTTCTGAGACTCTCCAAAAACTAAAGAGACAGATAATATAGCTCTAGACACTCTCTGATCACTCTCTCTCTCTCTCTCTCTCTCTCTTAAATTTTGAATGGTTTTAGGCATGAGCCCATTCACGTAGTAGTAATTGATATAATGGGATGAGAATGTACGTAGTAGTTCAGCGACGATGATGGGACGTTCATTCTCTGTCTCGTAAAGTCTCCAACGCAAGAGTCAGTATCATCCGGGGCGTCTTATTATTATTATTATTATTATTATACACACACACATATAGAGGATATAGCTAGCCTAGCTACGTATTTTCCCACCAAAACAAAGAATGGAGTTCAGCAGATGACCAGCAGGAAGAATTTGATAAATACATAATACCTATTGAATATTTATATATGCTCATTTGGCCCTCAATATTCTGATATATTGACCTGTAAGTTTAATTCAATGCTTAAAATTGAGTGATCGATAACAGTTAAATCAAATATAATGGTCAAATATGTGTCTAGACTTAGTGCATGTAGGTACTTAAGAAACATAGGTGTAACCATAAAATGATGGATCTTTAACGAAAAACTCCAAATACTGTTCATTTTAACGAAAAACCATATTTTTACACTAAAAAATCAATCATGGTACTATTCACTTTACCCTTTATCTTATCCTTATCGTTAAAACTCAAAATTTTCAAACTATTTTCATTAGTTTTTCTTAAGGGGATTTCACGATGTTTTCTTCATTTTGTAGTGAAATGAGATACTAATAAGCTTTTTCAGCCCTCTGCCACCAATCACATCTTAATATTAAACACTTGTATAGGAGCATACGTACTAGTGAAAGAGCAAAAGACACTAGTAAAAAACAAAAATTCCTTGAGCGACGAAACTTTGCGTGACAAAAAACACAGCGTCACGCTTTGCGCGACGAAATTCTAAGCTTCGTTTCACAAAGTCTTGCATAACGAAAATTTAACTTCGTCGCGCAAAGTCTTTACAAAAATAAATAAAATAAAATAAAAAATTCTAAATCATTGCGCGACGTAATTCAAATATTTCGTCGCCTAAACCAATTTATTTTCATTTTTTATTTTGTACACATAACACTTAAGAAATTGAACAATATATATATTTATTAAGTAGCTTTAAATTTATTATTGTAATTCGGATCGGGTTTTTGTTAGAAAAATATATTATTGTAGTTCAGATCGAATTTTTGTTAGAAAATTATATTTTAAATTGACGATCGAATTAGTTCATTGTAATCGTATAGGGTCAAGGAGTGTAGCTGTAAAAAATCATCAAAATCGGAGTTGAAATAACCGTTAAATCGTGATTTTTCGTTTATAACGGTCGAAAAGTTTTGTCCCGTTACTTGATCTTTGAATGTTTTTTTTTTGTGATTTTTGGTGTATATGATCTCGAAGTATATACAAACAAGTTTGACGGTTGGATCGTTGAAACTAGTTTCGTAGAATGTGTATCCCATCAAAACAATAGATTCACTAATACTTAGAGTTTATTTATATTTTCATTAAGTATAACATAAGATTTTGTGGTATCCACTAGTGTAAATATTTTAAATTAAAGATCGAATTTAGTCATTGTATTCAATGTTCATATAGGGTCAAGGAGTGTAACTGTAAAAAATCATCAAAATCGGATTTAAAATAACTGTTAAATCGTGATTTTTCGTTTATAACCATCGAAAAAATTTGTCTCATTACTTGATCTCTGAATGTTTGTTTTTTACGATTTTTGGCGTATAAGATCTCAAAATATATACAAACAAGTTTGACGATTGGATCGTTGAAACCAGTTTCGTAGAATGCGTATCCCATCAAAACAATAGATTCACTAACACTTATAGTTTATTTATACTTTCATTAAGTATAACATAAGATTTTATGGTATCCACTAGTGTAAATATTTTAAATTGAAGATCGAATTCAGTTATTGTATTCATATAAGATCAAGGAGTGTAGTTGTGAAAAATCATCAAAATCGGAGTTAAAATAACCGTTAAATAGTGATTTTTTGTTTATAACCATTAAAATATTTTGTCCCGTTACTTTATCTCTGAATATTATTTTTTTGCAATTTTTGGCGTATATGATCTCGAAGTATATACAAACAAATTTGATGGTTGGATCGTTGAATGGTGTGTCTGTGTGTGTGTGTATATATTAAGTAGCTTTAAATTTATTTATTTTGTACGTATAACACTTAAGAAATTGAATGGTATATATATTTATTAAGTAGCTTTAAATTTATTATTGTAGTGCGGATCGGGTTTTTGTTAGAAAAATATATTATTGTGAGGTTTATGTAAAGTCACATTTTCAGTAAATTTTATTATTTTCTTTTTTATTATTTATAAAAATTATTTTTATAAATTTTGTGTGAAGAACCAATAATTCATTGTGCAAAATGCTTAAATTTGGACGGGAGCCAAAAATGGGACGCGGGATTTTTTTTTTAAAAAAAATTTAAGACTTTGCGTGACCAAAAATGGGACACAGGAATTTTATTTTAAAATTTTATTCAAGTGGTTACACAACACTTTGCACGACTAACACTTCGTCGCGCAAAGTTCTAAAATTTTGGGCAGGCACCAAAAATGGGCTGTGAGAATTTTTAAAAAAAAAATTTTAGTGGTCGCACAAAACTTTGTGCGACCATTTTTTCGTCACTCAAAACTTTGCGCAACCAATACTTCGTCGGGCAAAAAAATGGGATGTGGAAATTTTTTTTAAGACTTTGCGCGACCAATATTTCATTGCACAAACTCGTATCCTTCGTCGCGCAAGGTGATACGATTTTTAAAACCAAAATAACTCCTCCACAATTTCTCAATGTATTTCTCTACTCTTACCTCTCCTATCTCTTTCCCTCTCCCCAAATCTGACCCTCTCTCTCACACTCACTCCTCTGACTTAATCTCTCTTCTCTCTCTTCACTATCTCTCACTCTCACTCACTCTCTCATCTCTCTCTCTCACTATCTCCTCTAATTCTCTCACACTCACTCCTCCCTCTCATTCTCACTCACTCTCAATCTTGTCAAAAGGTATATTCTCCCCAAATTTTAATTTTTTTCATTAGTATGTGTTTTTGGGGTCTAGTATAGGATGAGGAGTGGAGTTTGGGGTCGGATTTGGGGTATACCAATTTTTTGGGAGATTATGCCAATTTTTTGTTATTTGACCATATATATTTTTTTGTAGGGAATTGTCAAGACTTTGATGACTAAAGTTGAGGATTAGGACGCTATCGAAACATATCCCCCACCACTACCACCACAATAGACTTGTATTAGGATTTTATTATTGTACTTTGTTAATTTATGTGTACATTTTGAATATATTTTATATATTGGATAATCTGATCACTATTTTTCATATGTAATTTTATTTTGAATATGTCAATTTAAATTAAAGTAATTAAAAAAATGAAATCATACAATTAAATTAAATTTAAAAAGTAAAAATTCAAAAAATCTTGCACTACCAAATATTTTGTTGCATAAACAATTAATATAAGAGAAATAATAAACAAAAGGTCAAAAACCTTGCGCGACAAAATATTTCGTCGCACAAAATATTAAATTAATTTATTTTAATTAAAACAATTTAAAATATTTCATCGCCCAAAGCTACTTTGCGCGATGAAGATTAATTTTCATCGCACAACCCTATCGTCACAAGCTTTGCGAGACGAACCAAGCGTGACCAAAATTTCATCGCGCAAAGTTTTTTTTGTAGTAGTGAGAGAAAGAAAAATGTTGGAGAAAAAAAGAAAGAGAAAATAGCGGTAATATGCGCAACTGAATCTTAACTTTGTTTTAAAGTCAATTATTTTTAATTACTGTTATACTCAAATAGGTTCCTTAATTAATTGTGAATCGACGTATAATTGAAACCCTTGCAAGAATAGCAATGTTCAAGTCTCAAAGGATTAAGACCAAGTTATTAACGAATAAACTACAAGATGTTAGATAAAGAGGATGAGAAGTGCACTCAAGAACTATTACAAATGCATATAAGAGGAATTTGCAACATGATATACTCAATTAAAAGCTTATGTAACAAACAAACCACCAATACTGAGTTAAGAGTTAGGATACTTCTTCGAATAATTAAAGTACGCAATTTCCAACAAAGAACTCCAAAGGTGAATCTTTAAGTCCCAAGAAAGCTTCTGAACGAGGTAAGTAAGTCAAGCGCATGAAGAGAGTTAAAGAGTATAGTAGATACATGTGTGCATGGAAAAATAAAGCTTAACTCTAACTCTTCCTTCTTTAACTCGCACGGAGAGAGGGAGAGAGAGAGAGAGAGAGTAGAAATTACAACTTCACGAGAATGCGACCTATAGCATTTAATTTCAACCCAACAGGTGTTTTGGATATGTGGGTTTCTTTCAATGTATATCATATAAATAGCATAGCTTTTGAGTTGAATATATGTGGAAGAAAAAGAAAGTGGTTGAAAGAAAGGAAACAGTCCACAGAAGATAAGCTTCAAGATCAAAACCATGTCTCACATAGTTGTGGAGAGAAACAGGAGAAAACAGATGAATGAGCATCTCAAAGTCTTACGCTCTTTGACCCCTTGTTTCTACATCAAAAGGGTACCTTATATATATTACTCGATGCATATCTCTCTCATGTTTGTATACTAAATATGATCAGCTTAAGTCGGTGTTAATTATTTTCTCATTAACTAGTTATTTAACATGTACTAGGGAGACCAAGCATCAATCATCGGAGGTGTGATAGAATTCATCAAGGAATTGCATCGAGTTTTACAGACTCTGGAATCTAACAAAAGAAGAAAAAGCATAAGCCCTAGCCCTAATCCAAGCCCAAGACCAGCAGTCGTACTGCCTCAGAAATATCCAACCGCTCCACAACCTCATCAAAACCCTGACTTTAATTTTAATTTGGGGACTGAAAACCGTCACCATGTGATCAATAAGGAACTAGCTATAGGAGCAAGTTGCAACTCTCCGGTGGCTGACGTCGAGGCAAAGATCTCGGGATCCAACGTGGTGATGAAGATAATATCTCGGCGAATACCTGGCCAAATTGCCAAGATCATTGGTATGCTCGAGAAGCTTTCATTTGATGTCCTTCATCTCAACATCAGCAGCATGGAAGACACTGTTTTATACTCTTTGTAATCAAGGTACGTACGTTGTATCATTAAACCTCTTTAATTATGTAGTTCTTGAAACCCATTCTTCGAACACCCCTAATTGTGCTCAGTTGAAACTTACGACCAAAACTTTGTTGGGAAGTTAGGGTTTTAGTTACCCTCAAGCGCTCACTACAGATCATGACAACGAGAGCTGCTTAGGGCAAATAAGTTTCTAATTATAATCAAATCACCAAATTTATCTAATAGTAGCTAGCTATAAATTAACAGTACTGATGTTTAACTTGTTTATCTAGAACCAGAAGAATGAACTGAAGTAATATATGTGATCACATGCGTATAAAATATGGACTAGCTTCCAGGAGTGGCACGTCATTAGTTAATTTATTAAAATGAAGGCATACTCTCATGAATGGATATTGTTTTGCAAAATTGGCAAGGAAAAGGATAACTATACTCTTTTCTCTCCCAGTACGATTATATTTAATCATGTTCTTTGTTTCTGTTTAATTTATTCAAATAAAGAGAGATGTATAAAATGAGAAAAAGAGTGGACTAAATTATTGCTCCGATCGATTATTTGATGATGAATTTCTTTGTTACACAGATAGGACTGGAGTGTCAGTTGAGTGTAGAAGAACTAGTACTTGAAGTTCAACAAAGTTTGCGCTCAGATACAAATTAAGCAGGCGTCGACGTACAAATTCAATAACGTTCTTTAGTGTGGATCATGTGCTGAAGTTAAGTTCGTGTTTTTGTCATATATAATAGGCATATGAGAAAGGATATAAACGTTTGTTTCACTTGAAATGTACACCTGAGATGTCAAATCATATATATAATAAGTAATGCTTTATACCTAAAACTTAATAGTTTGATATATTATTTTACTCTATTACATGATACGCCACGTAGGTATGTCATATTCATGGGTGAGTTACACTCAATAATAGAGTAGACTAATTCTATTAAACAAAGTTTTAGGTGTAGCATACTAGCATGTCTAGATGTATGATTGTTATTGTGATTGACCAGTGCTCTTAATTTTGTAACTTGGACAGGGTTTGGTTAGATCATCATTCTTAACCCATGAATTAACTAGTACGGACCTAACTCATGATTAGGACGTGGAGTTAATCACATGTTTACTTATTTAATATAGAAGAAATCATGAATCGAATAAAATATGTGAGAGAAGTACATGACGTGTTTACTATGAGAGTCGCATTCTGTTTTTGTTTCATATGTATTAGTAAATGTCAAGAAGTTGGAATGATTTTAATACACATGAATGAGTAAGCATATGGGAGAATAGGAGGAAGAAAATCCTACAGCTTTTGGGGTACAATTTCCTAAATATACTACCTTCTTCATCTTTCTTCTAACACAAACTCATTTTGGCACATAACAAATCTTAAATATTTAATTGAAAAATTGGGTGGGAAAGTGATGAACAAATAGTTGGGTATTTATAAAATTATGAAACCAGAAAAAAAAACAGAAGAAGAAGAAGAGTGTATGGTTCTTAAAATGAAAAACATATTTGTTTTTTCGTCAAAACCATTGCAAAACGTAATATATTAGGCAAATCGTGATTTTTTTTATATGCCAATAATTGTTATTAAACAGATATATGATCGCTAGTTAAAAGAAAAGGTAGTTGCGAAATCTATTGTTGAAGCTCCATATCGAGTTAAGTCTCATGGTGCGTGAGAGTTACTTTGGTTGAAAAGTTTAGTGAAAGATATTGGTTTTAATTCAAAGAAAGCCATGAGTTTACATTGATATTTTAGGTTTCAAAAAGTTTAGAGGGGAACCTACTCTATCACAGAATCAGCGCATTACCATAAGTCTCTTTAAGAACTTATAAAGGGTCAAGGAATGGTTATATTTTAAGTCATTGAGCATAATATACTTACTAAGGCGATCCCGAATGAAGTGTTTTTATAACTCGTTTACGCGTGACCATCTTTACACCAATTTGAACGAGTATTGACCAAGTTTTCCTTTCTAAATATGATATCTTTCCTAATGTGATTGTTTTCCTTATGAACACTATTTAGATAGAAATTCTCAAAAATAACTTATAAGAATGGGCTACATATTAGACATGCTTCAGTGGGTCAGCCCAATCCTCAACAAGAATCAGACCCAAACCAAATCAAACTTGACCACTCCTCATGTGCTTAACTCTTTAACCATTTGACAAATCTGTCAATGTTCATCCAAATACTTTTGATGAACGATTAGTGAAAGTAAGCTGTAGCCTTTTGGCGCATACTATGATTGCTATTGATGTTACAACTTGCATTGTTACTTGTGTGAATGATTAAATTAAAATCAATTAAGCTTAAACTGCAGAGAAAGTCTTCGACTAGCAGCAGAAAGCAACACAAAAGCCACAAATCCGTGATTAATTACCTGCCTGTGTCTTTCTTAATTTCTTCCAATCACCTGGAGTCCTGGACCCTCATCCCACAAATCCCAATTATTAATTTGATATCATAAGACTCTGGCTGCTGCTTAATTGGGTCCATTGCTTTTGAAAGAAAGTGAAAATGCATTGCATCAAGATCTTCATCATTCAACTTCATGATTGCTAATTCACAAGTAACTGCTGTTTAGTTTACTGTGTGGCATGTGAACTGCTGCCTTGTGTTCTGTATTGCCTGGTTATTTTGTTGCACAATGATTGGAACAAACAATTAGCTCTCAAGAATCCACTCTCTCTCAGTAATCGAGTATGATTCCATGTGAAAGAACAAATTAATTTCAAGCAAAGTTTCAAATAAAGCAAATCTAGGTTTATGATCCGCTTTGTCCCTTCAAATTCTCATTGGATAAATATATATATATTGACTTAGAGACCAACTAATCTTTGATTTAGTCGTAGCATGTGTTCACTAGTTGGATAAAGTTGTCTTCTCCTTTCCGGTTGAAAAAAAAAGCTTTATATTCGGCTCAGATGAAGGCAATGACATACATTTTGACATAAGCTTGATGTCTAGTTCTAATCAACCGGATTGTAATGATGTAATTTTGTCACGAGTGGGTTAACCAGTTTTACAAATATCTTTCTAAATACAATATTGTTTTTCAAATAATTAAGGAAAACTCCAAACAGTGTTCATTATTAATTATAAATTGGCCAGAAACATTCCCATTAATTAAGGAATGTTGATGATTCCCACATGGAAAAGCTTCAACTGTAATTTTAATGATTTGATGCAATTGCTTGCAGGAGGCAGCATTTTTTCTATCATATCAGATATCAAGTGCTTTTAAAACTCAACTGCATTTTGATTGAATTTACTTTTTATTTCAGTTTTCACAGTTTCACCTGCGAGCCCAAAGATTATGACTGACTGGTAAAGGCCAAAAATCTCTCGTTGCAAATAACCCCTAATTGTTGGCCTAACATTTTAAGGGAAAAAAACAAGCATATGAACCGTGAACAAACCCAGGACAGGGTGGTCCAACTGCTCTGAAATTTGCACTCAAATTATTGCGATAGCAGCCAAAATTTGTTGAACCCATATGCATATACCAGTTGTATTTGGTACTCCATTGTCTCACTCTGGTCAAATTTACTGTTCTAACCTTATTAATTTAAGCCTACTCCATGTAACTTTACCCTAGAGGGTTATATTATATTAATATATTCCTCACCCAATGAAGCTATAAACCCTAAAATCCAACTGTTGTTCTTAATATTAAGTTGTAGGATTTAGGGTTTTGGGTTTAAGAACTCATAGAATGTGAAGACATATATTTGTTCGATTCAACTTAAATAACAAGATACCTGTAACTGAAACATATTTTAGAATATTTTCTGATAATATTTACTCATACACTCGACATCTTTGTTTCGACAATAAAAACAAAAAATAAATAAATCAAACCTCAAGGATTAATTTGGATTAGTTAACCTCTAATCAAAGCTTTGAAAGGGAGTTAGTAAAGTCAAAGGAGGAACCTCTGACTTAATGAATTCATGCAAATGATGCAACCAACAACCAACCCTAAAACCCTAATCCCTGTAAATTGACCATCTGACAGAAAACGATACCACAGTACAAGTACACAGAGCCACGTGTACGGCCAGAAACAGAATCACTAATCTTCTCTGCCATCATCGGTCATAATAACAACCAACCAGCCACCCCACCATCCATCCATCCATATGCAGCTGCAGATGTTAAGAGTGAGTCGTACGCGGCGAGGAGAGAGAAAGGAAGACAGAAACAATTGCTACTACCGAGTCTGTGACACGAGAGGGGAGAGAGAGTGTGTGTGTAATACTAATAATGATGAGGGCGTGGTGTGTACTGTGTCGTGTGTCTGGGGATGGGACCCGCGCGAGTGAGGGGTGGCTATAACCGGACCTTACAGAGCTCCGCGGCTCTTCGGAAGGAGGGGGCTCAAGAATCCCCCTCATTGTCTCTCTCTTTGGCATGGTCTAAAATATCTATAATATCTTGATATTTTTATTAAAATTTCCATGTGTTTGAACTATCAATATTTTTTTTTACTATCGATATTTCCGATATCATCGATATTTTAGATCTTACTAATTCACTCATGTATCTGACCATGCAAAGTATAAAGTGTAAAATATTGTACTAATTCATTATATATAAATGATTATGGTGTGTTTAAACTTCTTTTATTAATTAATACATATTTTCTACAATCATAATGTTTGCCAGCTCTCTATATAATCAACTTAAATCAGTTATATCTATCATGCAATGCATTTCCTTTCAATTTTTTGTGATAAACTAATAGATAATTGACTAAATAAACATCATTCAAAGTTTCAATAAAAATTTCTAAGTTTTTCTTACAATTTCTGTGGTTTTTATTTAATTTTTATCGATATCGATAATATCTTGATATTTCCATCTAAATTTTCATGTTTTTGAACTATCGATATTTTCGATATCATCGATATTTTATACCTTACTCTCCGGTGAAGTGAGGGCACGACGGGCCACAGAAACAAACCTGCCTTCACGTTTTGCAGGCTAACAGACAATTTTTGCCGTTAATTAGCTTCCGTCATCTTCCGCCCTTTACGTTGCCTTCTTTCTTTCTTTAATTTATTTTCTAGTTCCACTTATTGGCTCGGCTTCCAACTCTCACCAAGCCTGCTAATATACTAATTAGTTTGAAAAGTGTTTTTAAATTGCTGAAAACATTTGTAGATAAAATATTTTTGAGTCCTAAATATACTTAAAGTGCATTCTTGAAGAAACATTTATTATGTACTTTTTGCCAAAAAAACCCATCAAGTTATTTTCCAAAAGGAATCCTTTCCAAAATTAACTTGTATTTTAACTAAAGATTTGTTTTTAAAAATAATTTCTCTAAATATGATTTTAATTATTTAAAAACAGTTCCGAACGAGTATGCTTCTTTTCTCCCCTTTTCACTTTTGTCTACTTTTGTTTTTCTTATTTTACCTTTTACCCCTTTTCATTTTCTTAATTCTTATTCAACATTGATTTCTTAGTAATGACCTCAAAAAAATTATTTCTTAATAAAAAAATATTTCACACTAGTTTTTTCCTCTATATTCATTTTTCTCCTTACTTTAGATTTGAAAATCAATGAACAAATACAATAAAAGTGGTGAAAAAGAGTTTAAAAAGTGTGCAAGAAATCACCTAAAATTAGGATTCCCACTCTTTTGTCTTATTTTTCTAGCCACTATCCACATATTATCGTAAGGGCTTAAGAACCAGGATTCTCTCCTGAGCATTTTCATAGGGATCCTAGGGATCCCGCAATCTTGTCCGTTCATTTTATATCGTACGGTCAGTTTTCATTAGGTACTATTCATATTTGAATTTTAAAATTTAAATTTTAAATGATTTCTGACCGCACGATACACGATGAACGGACATGATTGCGGGATCCCTAGGGAATGCTCAGGAGAGAATCCTGGTTCAGGGCTTAACAAAGCTCAAATTACTCTTCATACCTAGCAAGGAAGGGGATTAGCC